TACAATGATGTGTTCTGTTATAAATTGTTAATATATAAATTTTGAACAAAGTCATTCAATTCAATCATTTAGTTATATATTTTGTTTTGCTTTGCTTTAGAGGGAAGAATGCATGATGCACGTATACTTGGAGAGTCAGGCTTGATGCAAGACCTCAGGCAGCATGCATTTGCACCAGACGGCACCCCATTATGTCTATATGGTGACCCAGCCTACCCATTGAGGGTCCACCTCCAGCAACCATTCCGAAATAATGCCGCATTAACAGAAGATATGAGGCAATATAACAAGGCAATGAGCAGTGTACGAGTCAGTGTGGAATGGTTATTTGGAGAAATAACCAAGTATTTTAAGTTTGTAGATTTTAAGCAACAACTTAAAATACGGTTAAGTCCCATTGGAAAAATTTACATTGTATCTGCTATATTGCAAAATAGTTTAGCTTGCTTGTATGGTAACATTGTATCAGAATATTTTGAAATCAACCCACCAACACTAGAAAACTACTTCTGGAGAGCTGATGCATAGTGTCCACATGTAATTAATGATAATACTCTATGAAACATAGTATATTGCAAGACAACAGTATAGTAACATTGCATTTGCGTGAAAGATATAATTATTGTTTATAAATTGGATCCATACAACCAGAATCAAAAGTAATTCAAAATTAAATTTTCTGAACCAATAACTTTTATTTTCAATTTACATATACAACTATAAAAATATTAATATAATAAAGTATAGCATGCAACTTGTCCTGTAAAATATCCAAACAAAATTCAAAGGCCAGAAGTAGCCTGTCCGTATTCAATAAACATGAAGAATGGTCAAACACATAAAGGAATGTACTTACAGTTCTTGTACAGTTAACGATTTTTTGCAAATTCAAGCAAAGTGTTCAACAAGTTTTGATTTTGTTGAGTTTGTGCTTCAAGCTCCTTGCTCCTTATTGCTAGCTCTTGCTTTCGAACTTCCAGTTCTTTAGTTTTATGTTCAAGCTCTTTATTTCTATACTCAATATCCTGATTCGCTTTATCTCTTAGAAATTCTACAATAGCTGTTTTCTTGGCTCTGAACGAATCGTTTCCTGATGCTTTTCTTTTTGCTGTTTCTCGAGCAGTTTCAAGTGCGACCAGTCTGGCATCTTCTGCTTGACTTCTGTCCTCATCTTTAGCAGTTTTTTCCTTTTCTCGGTCCTCTTCTTGACTCTCAAAAAGAGCAACAGCTTCCTCAATGGCGTCTTCAAGCTCACTTGGCTCATCGGTGCCAATGCCCGAAGCATTAATTTCCTCTCTCTCCTTCTTTTTGTATTTTTTTGCTAACAAGTTATAGCGATCGCGTACAGCCCTGATGTCCTTCAAGTTGAAGACTATATCTGCTCTTGAATTTAAATTGTCGACGATTCTTTCCCAAACTAGTCCTATTCGCCTCGAACCTTTAGGATTATCAAAAGGACGTTCTGTTAAAATTTCTTTAATCAACTCGAGGTCATGTTGATCAGTCCACTTCATCGCTTTGATCATGACTTGAGATTTACTGCTAAACAACATAAAACTTGAGTTTAATTACCGAAAGTTGGTTAAACAGAATATCGTTTACGTAAAAAAGCTTACCTTTGCTTGTTCGTTTCGGCCATCATGCAGAAAAAGGCACAAAAACCAGACGTTGTCAGCACAACGCCAAATCACTCAAACTGGCGTTGTCGGGAGAACGCCAACGTCCAGACAACGTATATTCGTGACTTAATTATGATAATTTGTAAAATTATGCAAGTCCCAGGTCGCCGTCGCCACTTCCCGTCGCGTTCCCAAACTTTCTAATGCGTTGACGCGTTTGTTACTGCAGTTTAGTATATACGAAGCGTGTTTTTGAAAGAACGAGGCAACACTATATATGCACAATTAGCCATAACGCTTTTGTCGTTGGTCTTGTAGGTTTTATTAGATAGCTTAAGATCTACGACGTCGACGTCAGCTAGGACGTAAGGGCTAAGCAGAGGAATGGGACTAGGATGTCGTTGTAAATAAGTAGAGCTCAATATCAACGACGTCAAGTTTTTAGGGCGGCAATCGGAAGTAAATTGGCAATAGTTTTTGAAGTGTGCATGTGTCTCTCTCAATTTGCTCGTCGTCCACCAAACGTGGACAACCTCACAACAAGAGTTTTACCGTCGTGGATACAAGAGCGTGTCTCTTTAAAATTCATTTTCAAAGAATGTAAATATTTATAGTTTAAATGTCGACGTCGTAAATCTTAACGGTGGAAGTTTATTTATTTAGGACGACGTCCTGGTCCCAAGTCCTTTGCTTAGCCCTGACGTCCTAGCTGACGTCGACGTCGTAGATCTTAAGCTATCTATTGATATATACGTGGTTTTGAAAGAACGAGGCAACACTATATATGCACAATTAGCCGTAACACTTTTGACTTTTGTCGTTGGTCTTGTGGCTTTTATTGATAGGGCCCTATATACGTGGTTTTGAAAAAACGAGGCCACACCATATATATGCACAATTGTGATGCGTTGATCATGACGCGTTTGTTACTGCAGTTATACGAAGCGTGTTTTTGAAAGAACGAGGCAACACTATATATGCAACACTATATCATAACGTTTTTGTCGTTTGTCCTAAATGCAAACAAAAAAATACCTGATCCAGATAAAATTTACTTTAAAAAGATCAGGCTCAAGCGGGCTGTATACATTCCCACATAATGCCCCACATGCCAGGTCGAAGATATATAAGAGGAAAATCCCCGCCTAGTCAGACGTAACTAAGAGTGAAAACGCCCCACGTATCCCCACCTTTCCCCAAGGTTGGGGGGAGTTACAATTGACAAGTGCATTATCATAATAAACATTTATCAAGCAAGTTCTTCCATCGTTGCTTTATAATGTCCCAAGCATAAATTCAGTAAAATAAAAGGTACATCATACCTGATTAAACAAATATATTTGCCACCGATTCAGAAAAATAGACCATAATGTTTAATGTGTTTAAATACATTTTTGCATCAATGCCACCAACCTGTTGCCGCCATTTTGAATATGAACACATTTGACTCTTCGGCCTCCACGCCCGCGTTTCTTATCTAACGCCTTATCAACCTCGTTCCCAGGCTCTTCCCTCTTTCCTCCACAAGAGGGAAGAGCCTGGGAACGAGGTTGATGCCTTATAAGAATCCCGCCACTCAGGTCGACTAATTAGGGCTATACGCCTGCAAACAGGCCATAAAACAAAGATGGCGGCTTTCTACAGTTATTTTGAAAAGCAAATTGGCTGGTCACGAAAAAATGCCGTGGAAACTGCCAAATTTGCCGTAGTCAGCTGTTACGTTCTACGGCAATTTTTAACGTCGCTGCTGTCGATTTATTTCAGGGAAATTCGAGGCCTGCACGAGACCATCGCATCTCACGGGGCAGGTAGTCCAGGGACAACGTCTCTGTGTCAGGGATGGATCTACTTTCAAAAGCATTGAGATATAACTCAGCAAAAATCTGATCTACGTTAGATGCGGTCCACTGTTGGATCGGCAAAGTCTGAGCAAATAATAACGCTGAAAAACTCATAAAAGAACATTGTTTCCGCGTGAAATGTCACTATAAACCGTTCGCTACCTTGATAAATTCTTCAAGCAACAAATAAATTTAATTTTACATGATTTCAATAAAAAAAACTTACCTAGTTCTTGGCTCCCACAACTTTTCGAACGTAAAGACATGCTCTAGCTGACGCAAGCAACATTATGACTAATGATGAAACCGCTGCACATACATACGCGTGCTCAAAATCATCCAGACAAACAAAAATCGCACAAATCGAGATATATGTCAAGAATAGGAGGCTACTCGCCGGCGCTCGCAGCAATTATAAATGAGAATCACACATACCAGCTACTAATTGGGTATATGTTCATAAATTTATGTAGCAATGCACGAGATATATTTTCATTTTAAATTTATGTAAATTTTTATCCAAACAAATGACTTATTAATCAAGATCCATTAGCTTCACAAATTTCCCCCTACACAAATACACATTAATACAAATCACCAGGCGAAAACATAATATAGCCTGGCCGAGTTTTGAAACAACAACAATTATATTCTTCCATTAAAGGTTCAGTGACATGTTATGGTGATAAAGTGAAGAATGCCAACTGTCCTAAAGATCAATACATGGTGGTCAAGTTTGCATCTTATCGTGGATTGCTTGGCACAAAGACATGTGGTTTAAGTGATGATTACAGTTGTGAAGTTGATGTAACATGTCTTGTTAAGAAACAATGTAATGGTCTACATGAGTGTAGTATAACTGTGGATAACAATTTGTTCTCTGGTGATTGCTCTGGATTGTCAAACTATCTCTATTTCGAATATCAATGTATTGATACTGTGAAACCTTTTAATGAACTTTGTGGTACGCATGGGTATAATTATGGTTCTACTGATGGTTACAAATTGTAGCATCAATCAGCATTGGCTGTGCACAAGACATTTATGTCTACAAATGCGCAACCGCGATTTTACACACAAAGTTATACGCATATTCTCACATATTTGAGACATCCACATAGCCTTGCATAGTAAAATGACCAATAACCGTGTTCTTTTCGTATTTTTGTAGTTCATGGCGTATCTCTATCAAATTCATCACTACCTTACAAAGGTGTTGTACAAATTACCACTGATGGTGGGACCAAGAATATTTGTTGGGAAAGTTTACATAATTACTACGCAAAGCTTACTGTTTGTCGTCACCTGGGATACGATTGGGTATACTCTCTTGTTAATGTGTCCTCTTCAACAGACTCCAACCACGCAACATTTTCTGGAAGTATAAACTGTAATTATCGAGACAAATACTTATCCCAGTGTTCAATTACTGCTTCAGCCAGCCAAAGTTGTTCTGGGTTATCATACATACAATGTAAGTGTGGTAAGATAAAACTAAATAAGAAACGAATATGAAAAAATATTGAGGGAACAAAAATAAATTTACTTTAAAAGAAGAATGAAAATAGAATGTGATTCGGAAATAAACCTGGACACTCGAAGAACAACCTAGGATCGATGGTCATAAAATCTAGAATGCTCGACATTTATTTTACATTTTAGGCATGTCTTCACGGTATAAACCACTGTTGGAAGATAAACAACGTTTTCCAGATTCGTCATTTACTGCTTCTGCTTCTTCAGAAGGTCACAGTGCTTCTGATGCAAGGATATCCCGTGGTGGTTCTTGGTGTGCTCCTGTCTGGGATAAAAACAATTATCTTCAAGTGGACTTAGGAAGACTGTATTATCTTCGATATTTGGTAACATATGGTGACCGTACCAGCGCAAAATGGGTGGCCACATATAACCTGAATTACACCATTGACTTGGTGAACTGGAAAACCAGAGTGAGAAAGAATGATATAACCACCAACAATATCTAGTATAGACTTATTAAACCTGTTATTGTAACATTTCATTGTTAACGATACGTCTTCTCATTTGTGTTTGTATAGATAGTTAAAGGAAATAAAAATGCTTACGATCATGCAGCTGGGTTATATCTATACGATACAACAAGAGCTTTACGATTCATTCCATTAACATACGTAGGTCAACCATGTATGAAAGTTGAGATTTGGGGTGAAAGTAAGTTACTGCACATAATTTTCTCCGTTGGAATTCTGATAAAGTAATTCAACAGTGGTTATTTATTATTGTTTATTTACTCGCCCTCACGTTCCTATGATTTCTACTGCGTTTGGTGTTTTTTGTGTCTTTCTGTCAGCAGGAATACTGAAAATGTATTAAGCAGTTTAATGCGAAATGTTTGCGTAACTAGATTCATTTATCAACTTTTGGCTGCATAAATTTGGCTGAAAATTGGATCAGATATTTTACAAAAATTTGTCTCCTTCTCCGGGTTGAGAGGACCGTTATATATATGCATGCCTTAATTATCCAGGCCGCCGTGGTATGCACTCTATGAGCGTCCTCTAATTTACTATTGTTGATATTATCGTTTTATAAATCACTATCTGCATTTTACTTTCAGATTATTTGTCGGTATGTTCAATCCTTTTTCACAGTAACTGATTAAACATTTTATATTAACAATGTTTTGCTCTTTTATTGCTAGCTGCATTGCCAGACAAACCTAGAAACCTCACCGTCACTAATATCACCTCTACAAGTGCTGAAATATCTTGGCTATATCCTAAAAATCGAGGAAAATATAGTATTACAAATTTCTGGATTAAACTGAAGAGAGATAACTCTCTAATCCTGAGCATTACGACACAAAAAGTGAACAAATATAAAATAAATAATCTCACTCCGTATACTACATATGAAATATCTGTCGCTACTGGAAATTACGAAGTCGGTTTTGATGATGGGACCATTTCTTCGTTCTCTACATCAGAAGAAGGTGAGCGTTGAAAGATGTGTGTCATATAACTAGAACGTGTTCGATTCAGAAAATGAACATTTTAATCGTTCTATGAATGAGGAATGATGACTGAATCTTAGTCGAAAGCCAGAACGATTAAAATGTTTATTTTCGGAGTAACCGTTGTTTTATATTTTATTAAAATACTGGTGGTTGGGCAACTGCGGTACTGGGAGATAATTTGCTGAATCTGACCAGCGTACTTTTATATGTTATCAACTATTGTTCAAAATAAAGACGTTTTACTCGCACGAAGTTGCAGTTATATACTTACTATATGAAAATCTACATTATATCACAGAGGAAGTATATACAGAGAACAACAAGTCACACGCACGATTGGCCATACTGCGCATGCGTAACCTCCCAGCCAGTACCGTGACATTTTTTTATAAGGAAATAGACGGGGAAATCCGAATTTTTGACATAAAAACAACGATTTTAACGAAACTATCCGGGTGATTTGCTGTTTCGTTTTAATTTCAAGAAAATGGATTAGGCTGGACATCTTTAATAACAAATGGGCTATAAATACTACTTAATCGCTGCGAAAAGGGAAAATTATACTCGAAGGAGTAGAGTTTGAAAAGAACCTTATGATTGTGATGTTGAGAAAGTCAAAAAGAGCCAGATCTAAAAGTTTTCTACACGATGTTCTATTACTGCATTGTGTCGTTTCTGCCGGAGAAAAGCTCAGAAGTTGCTCAGAATATTCCAGTATATTTCGTATTGTCATGTTGTGGTAAGAGTATTATCCACTTTTTTTAATGAGACAAAATTAAACTAGCGAAGAACAAGTCTCGACCAAAATGGTTTTACTCCTTGAGAGTGTGTTGATCGATCTGATTTAAATGCTGTATCTTTGATTGTCAGGGTATTTACCCATTAAGTATAAATTCGACTTGCCAAGCGGAGAGTCTTGCTACTGAAATATATCCACGGCAAATAGTCTTGTTCCATTTATAGGATAATCACAAGTCACAACATAATATGCTCCTTCAACTTTCAAAATCAAATAAAAGTTTTTCAAAAGCTCAACCGTACTTCTTATGTGAATAGAAAAGATCACTTACTGTTATTGTTGAAAATTTTTGTCCAGATATAAAGATCAAAAAAGTCTTTTGCTTAAAAATGCCACTTTTTGCATTTCGAACTGCGTTTTCCCTATAGTTTTGTATTGAAAACGCAGCGATGGTACTGGCTGTTGCATATTAATTTTTTTTTAAATATTTTATTTGCTTTTGATAACGTGATAAATGCCGTCAGCTTTGCAAATCCGTATGACGTCCTTAACACTGTATTTTGAACTCTCTTTATATCTTTACTTTTTGATTATACTAATATCTTGCAGTGTTCAACACAAAATCCTTGAACTTTGTCCGGTAATTTTCTCGCTCGAGATGGTCTGCTTATTGGCAATGCAACAGGTTTACCTTCACTCGTAGGTGAAACAACTGTATCTTCAGATACTCTTTTTCCTGCCACCTTTTTATTCCAGTCACGATCTCTAATGCTTTCATCCAAAACGTTTTTATCAGGACGTAAGTCGGGAAGTTTAGTCTTGAGTTCTCTTCCAAACATCATAAACGCAGGAGATACTCCTGTACTGCCGTGAGTAGTGGTTCGGTATGCCAACAGGAACTTGTTAAGCTCATCCTTCCACTTCTTATTTTCCACATGAGCCACCTTCATCGATTTTAATAGAGTTCTGTTCTGACGCTCTACTCCCCGATTGGCTTGAGGCCAAAAAGACGGAGACTTATTACGGTGCCGGATTCGATTTTCCGTTAGGAAATCCTCAAATTCTTCCGATACGAATTGAGCTCCGTTGTCGGACTTAAGAGTAAATGGGTAACCGTATCGCGCAAAAATCGGTGTCAACACTTCCATCACTTTTTTCATTGTGGTTGACTTCATAATAACCGTACCACTTCAAAGAAGCGACTGTAGTAATCAACGATCACTAATAAGTTTTCTCCTGAAGGCAATGGTCCTAGTAGATCGATGGCTACTTCTTGCTACGGTCCGGATGGAGGTTTGGTACATTGCATCGGTTCAGGTGCTCTAAACTCTCCAGCCACTTGATAGCCGTGGCATCTCTTGCATATGCATTCTGCATCACCGTCCATTTTAGGCAACCAAACTTTACTTGTTAATCTGTTTTTCATCTTCACTATGCTAAGCGCAACACTTCATTTCTAAGAGCTTGTGCTATCACTATTCCTGTTCCACGTGTCACTAGCTGGCCAATAACGCAAGTTCGTTCTTTGCATGCAATCGAATAATCATGGCATTTTGCATTCAGACCAATTTCCTGTACGAATATAATGTCTAATACTGAGAAGTTCAGGATCTTTCTCCGATTCTCTCTCAACTTCTTTAGCTGTTAATTCCACCGGTGTATTTTCTTGCGCGATAATTCAAACAACATCCACAGTTTGGCCACTGTGATCTTTAACCTAGACAAAACATCAGCTATGTTAGTCTTTCCCAGGCGATAGACAACCTTGAAGTGATAACCTAACTGCAAAAGCATAATTGTCCGTTTCTAGTCCTCTTTCTCTTTCTCTACTTGATATTAAGCTCCATCTTGGCGTTTCCATTTGAGGGTTTCTTTGGGGCTTTAGTAACAAACCTCAAAATGATCCACCAATCCACACTTTTGCATGTTTTGTTTATTGCAGGACAGCTCTTATCTCGTCCGATGTGTCCTATCATATTGCATCGGTAACATTTCCTAGCCTCTTTATGTTTTCCATCAGATGCGCGGTCATCAGATTTGGCACCATACTTTCCTTTTACTGTACCTGTCTTTTCAAGAAACTTTGGGTCTCTGCATTATTGAAATAGATTTTTGTCGAAGTCGACAGACAAACTGATCATGGTTTCATTCTCTTTTTGTTGCATTTGTCGAAACATATATGCCTCTCAAAAGGTACATTTACTTTAGGTGTAAAATGTGCATCTAAAGCATTCAAACATTACTAAAGATTGTTATCCTCACTTTCTGGCTTTAAAGTACAATAAAGTTCTTGTAATTCCATTCCTCTTGAATGTAATAACAAACCAACTTTTTGCTGTTCATTTGCAACTCCTTTTGACACCGTATACAGGTTGAAAGCGCGTTTCCATCTTCTCCAGCGAACTGATAGTGTATTTAGATCTACCTTGCGGTATAAGCACCAAGAAAACCACCAACTTCGAATACTTTCGCATTCGTATTTAAAACAACGGCTCCACTCGATTCACCTGCTTGAATATTTTTTCGAATTTTGATTCGTTTCCATAATACTAATTTATCAAAATTCCTATTAATTAAACACGTCCTCGATATTTTTAAATGTAAATCCTCGTCGCCATTTGTAGTACGTGTCCCAATAAAACAACAGATTGAACTCGATTAAACACAAACAATTCTCTGGAAACGTACATTTACTAAAACACCATCTTGGATTCCCCAATCTCCACTAGTCCACTACTTCATGTGACAATATAGTAAACACTACAGAAACCTTAAAAAATACTTGTTCTGAGGCTGAGCGTATTTTAAAGTGCTAATGTCTTAAAATGTTTTCTATATTTCTTTGATACAACTGTCTACAGTCTGTTTGCGCGCTACTGCTCGAAGAAAGTAACGTCGACATTCACGACCAAACGTTTCGAAAAAAAGTGTTTTCAGATCCATCGAAACGTCTACTAGTATTATATTAAAAATAAAATACTCAGTAGTTCCCACAATTTCTACATTCATGAATAAGGTCTTCATCTGGCTCCTTATACATGCAAAATGTCTACTTACTGCAGGTACATAAATATTAAATAAAAACTTTCGTTCTATATACCTTTTAGCTCCGAGCGGTCCTCCATTGAACATCAGAACCACATCAAGAAGTGCGTCGTCATTGTCTTTCGCTTGGGATCCTCCTGAGACAACTAAACAAAATGGCGTCATTATCAGTTGTAGTGCGTGCGTTTCACTATCAGAAAATGGTACTTGCTTTCAGACATATGTCACAAGTGAAAGAGAGTGGTTCGTCACAAATTTGAAAGCATCAACGAAATATTATATTCGTATTCTTGCAAGTACTAAAGTTGGTTATGGAAGCTACAGTGAAAGTAAAGGATTTTTTACAAATGATAGTAAGTGCAATTAACATGTACTAGTATATATCGCGGAGATTTTCTCAGTTTGTGGTAAGCTAGATCTGTAATAAAGAACATTTCTGTTCTGAATTTCATACTTGCCGTTTGGTTTATACGCTCGAAAATTTCTACAGCTAATATTGCCTTGCTAACTTTATTTAATATCCGACATGTTTTCGCTTGGTTAAGAAATCGTTAATACATTCATCAGTTTAGTTAAACCGTAGAGTATATATAGGGAGCGAAAACTACTTGTAAATTGTTTAATTTAATACATGGTAATAATTCATCATTTCATGTTTCAGGCAACGATGAAAATGGCCCTGAAAAATATTTTATTGGAATTATAGTATTAGCAATTCTGCTGGTCATTTCATTTGTCATTATCGCTTATTTTATCTGTCAAACTCGTCGACTCAAATCACCATATACTGAAGCAAATGTGCAGACCACTAATGACGAAAATAATTCAACTGGACACATTTATGATATTCCTGTCAGCAATTATGTGGACGATGAACAGTCGACGTACACAGCTCTCAAAAGGCCTGGAGAAGTAAATGATGATCATTTATATGGTCATCTAGATCAAGTACGACAAAATGTTTACGCAAACCAGGGAGAAACTGGGATTTAATGTCTTATTAGTGCATAGTTAAAGGACATTGGCAGTAAAAATTTAGCTTGTCTCCTTCGTAAGAACTTTTAAAATAATGGACCATTCCCCAATTAACCAAGACTTTGAACTCAACAAGTCTGGTCAAAAATTTCAGCACAGCTTGAAAGAGCATCACAAAATTAGTAATATTCCAAAGTTTCGTTGAAAAATGTTGTAAAATGCAAATAATATAGCCTTGCGAATTTTGCAATTTTAAGTCATTTTAGATTACAAACGGGAAATGATTACCACTTCTGTGCGTAATACAAGATGACTGAAAATTACAAACTTCGCAAGGCTATATTATCCGCATTTTACAACATTTTGCAACGAAACTTTGGAATATTACTAATTTTGTGATGCTCTTTCAAGCTGTGATGAAATTTTTGTTTAGGCTAGTTAAGATCAAAATTTTGGAAAAGTGATAACCGTTTCCCGTTTGTAATCTAAAATGACTGAAACTATTGCAAATTTTGCAAGGATATATTATCCGCATTTTACAACATTTCGCAACGAAACTCTGGAATATTACTAATTTTGTGATGCTCTTTAATGCTATGATGGAATTTTGTCTAGACTTGTTGAGATCAAAATTTTGGTTTTTAAAGAAATTTTACGGGTTTTTTATATCTTGTTTCGGCCGCCATCTTGGATTATTCAGGATTTGCATATTGCATGGTGGAGTCACGACTACCAGGGATTTTGAATTCTTGACTTGCAATGATGTGGGCGACGGCCATGTTGGTCTCCTTTCAACAAAAGAATCTCATTAACTTCTTTTGAATTTGGCACCAACATGGCCGCCAATGCCATTGTCTTCTAATTCTTATGGGCATATGAGCCATGCAAAGTTGTTTTTAAAATTGTAAAACTTCTGCAATTCAGTGTATGCTGCCATGGAAGTTCGAATAAACTTTCTATCTATCTGTCTGTCTGTCTGTCTGTCTATCTATCTATCTATCTATCTATCTATCTATCTATCTATCTATCTATCTATCTATCTATCTATCTATCAAAAACTAGAACTTAGTTGTTATTTCAAGTTTAATTAAAATCGGAAGGCTAACCCCACCATTTTGATGTCATCAAATGCATAGTTAAGGTAGCTCCATACAGTTCCGTAGTATAAATCCCTTATTGCGTAAAAATGTCAATTTATAATTTTTATCACTTCACCTATTAATTTTAAGCATTCCCGAGTATAAATTAAGTATTTGGTAGGAAAGGAAAGGTTTGCAATATTCTTGAACATAATATTGTTTCCATGGTAACAGTAGTCTCGCCAAATATGGTATTTTTTCCTATTTTAAGCAGGTTTTTATTCTTTATTTTCCGAATATTGCCGGTGACACCCCATTTTTAACTGCTGTATAGCTTTTACTTTTAATGCGGAATCTTATGCTTGAAAATAAAAAAATTCTGTAGATTAGAATAGCCAGAATATTAAAAAATTGCGGATTTAGAGTTTTCCAATCCACACATTTTTTTAAAATTTTGATATTCTATTTGTTTTAAAAGAAGTTATCATTGTGCAAAATTTCATCATATGTCACCGTGCAAAATTTTGAATTACGCCGTTTTATTGTGGTATCTCACTCGCTCGGCCGAAAGTTTTTCGAGCTCTGCAAGATCAATGAATTGACATGCGCGTACATAAAAAATGCGGGCGTATATAACTAAACACGCGCGTTTACAACGAAATCAGAACGAGGCTGAGTTTCAGAACGAGCTTGTATTTTATGTTTACAAATCGGCTCTGAATCGGCATCATATATTCAAAACTACTTTGAATTTTATCTTACAAAATCAGCAGAATGCATAGAAATCCATTAATCTACCTTTGTGTTTAGTTTGTAGTACTTGCATTTGCTTTTAAAAAACCAAGGATGCTTTGCGTTAATCATGACACTGATGATGATATGTTGCCTAAAATTTGGATTCGTATTCCTTATCTCGGAAACCGTGGCGATTTTCTTTTAAAATCATGTCTCAATAAAATACAAAGATTTCTTTCTAAACCGGTTAAGTTCATCACTATTTATGACACTAAAAAACTCTCTTATTTTGTTTCCAACAAAGATAAACTTCCTCCTTTATCTCGTAGTAATCTTGTATACGAGGTCGCTTGCCCTGATTGTGGCAAAACCTATATTGGCATGACACAAAGATGCCTTTCTGTACGTTTGAAAGAGCATGCAACTAGGCTCTCTTCTAGTGCAGTGGGCCAACATTTTTCTGAATGTGAACATGCTCAATTCTTAGCTACTTTACAAGACCAGTTCACACTACTCAACGATCTTCCTTTGCCTTCTGACAACTCTTCTCCTATTGAAAACCTTGTTTTCAACAGCTACGGAATACTTCACATTACAAAATCTAACAACTACAATATTCTTGCTTTTCTTGAACAACTGCTTATCAAACATAACAAACCTTTTCTTAACACTGGACTTAAAGCTAGTAAAGAACTACAACTGTTCACATAACACTTTAACTTAATATCTTCTACTTGTCGGGTCTTCCCTTTCTATCTTGTTCCTTTTAATATATTAAACATTGTTGTAAATATAGCGAAATAATCCATTCTCAGTTATTACTATTTTCTCTATCATGTTTCGCTTCGCTTTGATAATCCTTCTTTAATTTCCGCCCACATGACAGATGCTCTCTCTCTGCGTTGTATATATATATATATATATGTTGTAAAGTATTGTATTTCATTCTGTCTGAAGATGACTTTGAAATAAAGTCGAAAATTTACAGTCTCAAACTGCGTCTTGTTTTGAATTATATATTGAATTCTCAAGATGTCCTGTATTTTCGGGATTGGCTTTTTACTTTATTTTTTTAAATTGTCGGCTGGTCATGGTTCTTTGAAGTACTCTTGTATTCTTTGTTACTCGTGGACTTTTCCCTTCCGTTTCGTCATGTGTTGGAGGAGGGCTCAGTATGGCAACAACACCAGTTTCACCGAATTTTTTGTATAAAGAACACAGATTATTGTATGAAATTCCACATCCAGCAATTTTTAATGCTATTCCGTGAGATATGGCACTGGATTGCTTGTCATCTGGACAGAAAATGTTGCCCTTGTGCGTTTCGAGCAAGTCTTGGAAAAGACAGTACCCCAAAAATGGCGGCGTGAGAAAGACTAAATAATCAAAAATGGCGAACAGTTCATTGCTTTTAGTCAAAATATTGCAATAGTTAGGTTTGACATAAAAAACTGCAACAAAAGTTAATACATAATTAAACGTTCATTCAAATGAGTGAATTATTCGAGAGTTGACTTATCGTATAAAACAAGTAGTGTCTTTCCTCGCGGTAAAATAATCTAGACAGTTAAAGCAATGTGAAAAAGCGGTTTTACAAAGTTGCGACTATAAATTTACTTTTATGTAGACAACTAAAAGTTACAAAAGTCGCAAACAGTATACACGCTGGCAATATTTTAGGTACGTTTTATACGCCGAATTCCGGTGACGTCGAATACGATTAAGACAATAGTCATTGGATAATAATGAGATGATAAAACTCAATAAGCGGCCTTCAGCCTTCATTATCTATTGTCTTCACGCGACCGAAATTCAATGTAGGCTTACGGAGTTACGCATCGTTGCGTTCAGCAAAGTGCTAGGCCACTCAAATTCTAATAATAACAGTAAAACTAGGTTACCCACAGGGCAGTAATGCTGCCTTTGACAGCAAAAGACAAACTACAGGGTGTTGAACGAGTCCTTCAGAAACATCCTATTATTGTTATCCTTGTTAACCCATTTATTGACAGTACCCTACCACTGACTGAGTATTAAAAATTGTCTGGCGTTGGACAGGTTAAATACTAAAGTAGGGGCCATTACTGTGTTGATGAATTAACAAGAGCCATTGGCAGATAGGTTTGTTAACCCATTTACTGGCAGTACCCTATACTACTGACGAGTAAAATCTTCTGGCGTTGGACAAGGGAAGGGCGCATTGCCAGCTAATGGGTTAAACCACCGTGGTTAACATAAGATTTCATGATGCTCCAGGAAATGTAAACAAGCTATCAGTGTGACATCCCAGTTTATATATTTATATACTCGGAATATTGATTTATCGGTATATACAAAATTACCAGCGAAGACGTAAGCCACTAACTACCCTGCGCGGCTGCGCGCAGACTATATAATGACATATATATGTCATCCGTCCGGTCCGTCCGTCGCCATCCGTCCGTCCGTCCGTTATTCATCCGTCCGTCCGTATCCGCGTTTTATCCTAACCCGTTTTTAAAACACAAAGTTTGCATAATTAAGGCAGTGCGGTTCGTCATGATCAACATTTTCAAAAGCGGCCAATTAGACCAGGGATTAAGGGCAATGACAATGACATGCAGGTGACATTTAACATTGCGTCTCACTAATTAAAATTTGCGTGTTTAAGTTAATGTTTATCAAAGAAAGCAAAAATGTATACAAGACAATCTCACATGTGGAATTTTTTCACTTATACGTACTGCCTTGTGATGCAGTACAAGTATAAATACAAATGACAAAGCATTTGTAAATTCTAAAACATAATTAAAAAATCATACGGCACATTTAAGATTTTAATATCGTATTTCAGCCGCGTTTATACTGTTTGGCGCATTCGCTGCGTTATATTAATTTATATACACAGAAAAGCATGTCATTGTCCATGCAGACCATAGGCAAAAAGCATTTGTCAACCACATACCAAATTTAAGCAATCGTTAAATCATATACATGTCATGGAAAGAATATGGAAATAATGTTGAATGAAAGCTAGCATCGCATATAATATTAAAAGCACCGCATATTATTAGTGCTCGAACCACTGCGTATAATTGCAAAAGCACCGCGTATATAAATGGTGAAAGCACCGCGTATAATAATGGAACCACCGCGTATAATGGCGAAAGCACCTTGTATAATGCCGAAAGCACCGCCGTATAATGCTAAAAGCACCCAACAAAATTCCGTTTGATCACTCTAAGCCAGCTATGGCTTTCCATAAAAGAAGACCAAAGATGAAAGATGATCACATCGCCTGTTTGCCTTATGCCTGACCGCGGTGCACCACGGTTAAAATTCACTGGTACCGTCATGCAATGCGCCAAATAGAAAATTTTGATTTCGACCCACAAAACAAAATTAGGATCTGCTGCCTTGCTCGCTCGCTTCAGGCTCGCTCGCTGCGGCAGCAATGAACCCGAAAACCAAGGGAGGTTTAGTAAAAGTCTCTTGGGATTGTCTTATGATTGTGGGATGAACACTTTTCATATCATATATGCACGCGCAGAAACACATCTGCGTGTTCATTCTTTTTAGGCATGCGCATAAACCGAATTTTCTCCCACAATTGAAATGTTCAAGATTGCGGAATAAAAACTAGCAAAGTAATTGTCGATGCGTGCGGGACGGTGTCGTCAGATGCTGTCCATAGTTGTGCCGATGATTTTTGATGAGGTACAGCTCTCCAATGAGAGGTAATGAGGTACGCTTTTGTCTTCTAAATTTCCATCAAGTATGCAGGGAAAATTAGAAGACAAAGAAATCTTTGGTTTTCAACGAAATTTTCCGTGGAAATTTAGAAGACAAAGCGTATGAATAGAAAATGGGGGAAATACGTGATTAAACGCCCCTTTTGATTGTAGGTCCCTGGGAATTGAAGTCGAATTGCTAACAGATCATATTACTGTTGTTGTACTGTACTTGTAAAATAAAAACTTATTAAGTGCCATTTAATAAATGCATAAATTTTGCTTTATGTACTTGCGTTTATACACCCTGTAGGCTGTATGGGCGCCTGGGCGGAGGTATGCAGTCTCTGAGTGCCCTCTAGTTATCAATTGTTATTTGTCAAGTTGTTCAATGGTTCGAGATTTTATATTTTGTTTTAGTAGTACTTTTACTCCAGTAGAAATATTTCAATACTTTTACTCAAGTAATATTGTCAAGCCTTTCTTACTTCACCTTTACTTAAGTAAAACTTTTAGGCAATACTTTTCCTTTTACTTAAACAAAACAATGCTGAACACTGTTGATAAAAGTTCACTTTTTCGGTTTTTCCTACAGAACCGGCTGAGAAGGCCATAG